CCGCGCGTGACGCAGTGAGACCCGACGTGGACCTTCTGGTGTCATACCTGGAGCAGTTGGTACGCGACGACGAGCCCTGGACCGCGCACGAGCCGCCACTGCTCTACGTGGAGGACAACGTCGGCGACTGGGCAGAAGACGACGACGATGCCACCGTGGAGGTGCCATGGAAACGCTCCCGGTACTACCGACGCTATCCGTGGAAGCGTCAGAACGGACGTCACCGCGCGCAGTACGAGGACGCCGGCCGATACATGTGCAACCCGACGCGAGAAGACGTATTCCAGCTGCTGGTGGCCCTCCACGACGCCAGACAGGGGAACACGAGGCGCACCGTCAATTTCTGTAACCGGAAGCGACCTGCCAGTGCAATTTTCACCAATATCCGGTTCCTCGGACGCAGAAAATGAGGTCTTCCTGAAGGAGCACGAAGACAGAAATACCAAGCGTCTTGTACTTCCTGCAAATTTCAAAATTACTAATCGATGTTACTAACTTCATTGAACGCCATTACCGCAAGATTTTGAAAGTTCATTGTGACTGCGTCCTATCTCAAATGTTTTAACGTAAAATGTGTTTGTTCCGTCAGATTTCCTATTCGGCTGTAATGAACGCTGTGGTGGGGAAGTTCCTCTTGAAGCCGTCACGTCTTGTCATCTCCTAACCACGGGCAGGGTCTATACGATTCAATTAACTCAGAAGACTCCACTTTTAATGTAAATTAAGAAACGTGTTTTGTGTCAATAAAGCGCATCCAAGCTATAACTTGTTATGAATAACAGAAATCTAAGACCCTTCACAGTAATTTTCAAGGTCGCTAAGTACGTCGGAGTATATTATTTTAATCCCCTTTGGAGCATCACCTTCCGCGCTGTGATACAAATAAAGAGTTTCGTTGAATTTCTGGGACTCATTTCTGAACATAAAATATCAATAGCCGATGCTTGAAAAATCCCGTGTCAATAGAGCAAACTCCGAAAATCCTCTTTAAACGCCCTTCCGTCTTCCAGGTCACGTGTCTCGTATCTTACAGTTCACGAAACCTAATTCCCTAGTACACGTTCGTTAATCACTCTGAAAGTAATGTTGCAACAAGCAACATTTCTTTGTTTTCCTGTTTTCCTCTCAGAATTCCCGTCCAAGAGGCCGATCTTCGGGCGGAATCATGAACCTACTTACTCTACGTAATGCGGAAATTAAATTTGCTAAATAAGATGACTTAACTTCTGCACTGATCCTTGGGGACGTTCTTTGGTCATGCCGACAACTCAGGCAAGAACAACACACATTTCCACGCTCTATTTTTATTTTCAGAAGACGGAGAATCTTCTAGTAGACAAATTTATTCGTCATTAAGCCATGAGGGGGTAAACTTTTCTGGACGAAGCGCATTCTTAACCTCGACACTGGCTCCACGTCTCGGTCGTTTTGTCCCGCCACTCATTGGACACGAGACGTACCAGACACCTGTTTCCGGGCCGAACTTGCAAAAGTTAATTTCCTGTGCCATCGAGTGTCTTGTGCCCCGCGAAGTCAGTGCACGGGGCAACTGATCGGAAAGTGACGCTCCATCTTTCACCTGAAATGTCGATTGTCGTCTTCCGTCGGAATCCCTAAATCCGCCTTCCACATTCTTTCCAGTTCGTCAATCACGTGAAGCCACATAACTGGTGTAGCTGACAAAGTGTTGTTAAACAAACAAGCAAAACTAATAGCCTAGTATGGCGACTAGTGACTTAAGTCATTTCACAAAATGAACGTAAAACGTCAGAACCGAAAGTCGTCGGGATGGCTGGACGACGGCGGTCGTCGGCTAAGCAGTCCCCTTCATGGCCGGTTCTGGACAGGGAAGCTGAGAGTACGTGAAGTTCCACTGGGGAGTGCCAGGGCTGCCTGGGGCGAAGTAAAATGGAACTCTGTACGCTCGTCCGTCGAAATTCACCACTGGAACCACAAGACGGACAGCGAGGTTTGCTTCAGTTACTTTTTGAAAACAAGAGAATTGTGTTTCTGCGCTGTTCACAGATTTAAAAAACACGAAGGAAAATGCACACTTGGGAGACCTAGGAATAGACAGAAGGTTAACAGTACGATGGATCTTATGGATAAAAACTTGCCCGGCGGAGGGTTTGCAGGCATGAGGGCCGAGGAATTCTTTTGGCTACCTAAGCAACTATCAGGTTTCAGAGGAGATAATTAGGACTGAAAAACACATCGTACTCAACGTGACTAAAAGAACACGAAATCAACAAATTAAAAAATTCCGCAGTCGGTAGGACTCGAACCTACGCTCCCAGAGGGAATCTGATTTCTAGTCAGACGCCTTAACCACTCGGCCACGACTGCACGCAGCGAGCGTCGTTAAAATCGAAGCGTCTAGCTGGCGACGCGTCGGATCTCGAAGCGCAAAAATCGAATGTCAGGGCATGGAGGCTGTCTATGCTAGCACCGAGTTCGAACCCCCAACAGAACACGAACTATTCCGACTTTCGCTGGATTTCCTCAGTCCCTGCACGCAGTCTTATTATAACTCAGGCCACTTTAAGTCGTCCCGCGCCCAAATCGTATTAGACGCAATGCCCACGTGCAGAACAATAAATCAGATATTAAAAGTAACGGAATTAATTAGATTTTAACGTATTTGAGCTTTACACTTTCCAAAAGGCGGATTGGGGGGGGGGGGGGGGTGGACTGCAGTTTGTCTGAAGTGAACACGCACTTGATACACGTCAGCTGATACAGTGTCCTTAAACAAGCAAGGGCTAATGACGCACAGCGGCAATCATTGTGCCGGATTTACGTCAAATGCGGAAGACAGCTGGAAACAAACTTTAGTCAGCTGGTTACGGATTAAACTCATAGTTGCTCAGCCGGCCAAGAAATTCCCCGATGTTCATTCTTGTGCTAACAACAGCAAGCCACTTGTCCTTTTCCTGAGCCAGACGAATCCATTCCACGCTCTCACACGCTAATTATTAAGGATCCACCTTAATGTTATCCTCCCTCCTACGTCTGTCTGCCTTCATTTTCCGAAACCTCCTCGATGTGACGATCTTCACGATTCAGCGGAGGTCGCCGAAAGCCTTAATTAACTCGACCCTTCAAATGAAGAGTGTTTCCAAGAACTTGGTTTCGCCTTTCATGCGTTCAGCCACCAGGAGCCATTTACATTCCGCTAGAAACGTGTGACAGTCTAGAACAGAAACACATCCAATTCACGCGGAAGCTTTCATTGCTTCACGGACGCGATGAGAAATTGTGTCGGATGATTCCGAAGCGACGCGAGACGTCAAGTGAGCTCAACGGCACAGTTCAATTTTGATATGCAAATTGTTACAAGGCAACTGTAATTACGTGCCAAAGTTCATAAAACTTTCGGGGCGCAGACGGACAAATGTCTTCCATCAGAAGCCGAGTTCATGGCCGCATGAAGTCGAGGTAATTCCACAGCGCACAGGAGGATAATATTAAAATTGACCTTACAGAAATAGGGATTCATCTGCTTCCGGAAAATATTTCATAACTTCTTGACAATCTGAGCGACTATCAGCTTCACAAGCAGCAATCTGCTCCCGACTTCAACAAAGGCCGCAAGGTTAAACTTCAAGGCTGATGACGAACTGTCAGTCGATTCTTTCACGACACTGAATCAATTACCTGTGCTCCTGTGGTCCAGCTGGTCCTCGCAGAACCTGCGTCTCTGCAACTCCAGGAAGCCCGAAGTGCAGTTGTCGCCTTCCGAGGGCACGTGGAAGGAGCCGAACTCCAGCCTCACGGCGCACATTCCTGACGGCAAGCAATCAGAGTCACCCCCAGCCCACAGTTTTCAAAATGTCGCTCCTTGTCTGCCTCTCTACATCACGCCAGCCACATTTCGCGCAGATTCCGAATTATTATTATTCAGAAACCGTTAGGGCTCAGAATTAAATATTCACTTTAATATTATCCTCCTATCTTCACCTAGCTCTCCAAAGGAATTTTTCTCCTGCATGACTTCTCACCGAAACTTCGTATGCTAAAACATTTACCGTCTATGACATGCGTTCTACATAATCAGCCCATCGTAGCGTCTTTGATTTTACCGCCACAGTTCGAGGTATTTGATGTAGAGAGCGCCTACAAATTATACAGCCTCCTGCCTCTCCCCTAATCCCCTCCCCCTCACAGAACGCTGATGCCGATGGCTGAGAGACCAAGTTTGACACCCGTACAAAACAGCGGGCAGAATTACGAATTTGTGGTTTCGCTTCGAGTTTTGCACGGGAAGAAAATCTGCGGGGTAGAAAAGGTAATCTCGTTATCATCTGCTTTTAACCTCTTAGTGGACTCAGTTTTAATTTCTCGCTGTCTGTCCGCAAAATTCCGACAGTCGTAAGAAGGATTAAGAAGAACGCGTGACGCGCGTTGCTACGCGACTGTCAGACCAGACTAGAATCCTTAGGAATACCCTCGCCGCTGTCGGGTGTCAGTCAGGGAGTACCCACCCTTCTGTGGCCTGATGACGTAGCTGCAAGCCGCGGGCTGGGAAGATGACAGCTGGGGTTTGGGACAAACAGCAAATCCTCGCATTTCTGACAGCTGAATGTCGCACCGCGTCGATGAATTGGATACCCTGGCAGCTAACGGAACATCCGCTGAAGGAGGAAGATGTTATTCCGTCAATACTGCGCCGGCAAAACATCGTAAGGAGTTTCCCAAAAAAAATCTGTGAACCACTGAACGTAATCGACAGTCTGCGAGTCGCTAACGAGGGAAACGCGTACTTACAAAGCCCAAAATCGCAATTCTCCAACTGCCGACCTTCGATCAGGAAATTCCCTTGACCTCGAAGACTCGTTCTCCGATAAACGATCCTTATTTCCGGCTTGAAGAAATCCACTTCAACTGAAAGAGAGCAAACTCAGTTCAAGAAATTGTCTGTCGTGAAGGCAAGGCTCCACTCATTCTCAACCTCGGCACTACAATGCAGAATGTTCAACTTCAAGCTCCGGCCGCTTCGACCCTACATATTTTGCCGTAACGTCACACTCGAGACTAAATGCGGACACCTACCGGATCGTCCTGACAGAGGTCCGCAGTAGAAGTGGTCGCCGATTTGAACATGTTCTTCGCCGCACACGAGGTTGAAAGTCGAGAGGGCCAACTGAAGGCTGCAGACGGCCTGGAAAACAAGCAGTAACTGGGTCTGGAGCAAGGTTCTTCTTGACAAGCTGACTGTCGCTCAGCTAACCAAGAAACTTCAGGCCTTCTTCGAAGCCACTTTACGCCTGTCCCGAGCCAGATAAATCCAACTGACGTCCAATTTCCCTGACATCCATCTCAACAGTAACGTCCATCTGCATCTAGGTCTTACAATTAGCTTTTCCCTTCAGGTTTCCCAGCTAAAATAATTTCTAATCTCTACCATGCATATATCAGCTAGTCCTCAATCTCCGACTGGTTCCCGCCTTCCGCTGACGGTCACTTACTGTGCTGTGCCGTGATATGCGATAGACGCACGAGTCCTGGCTCGTATTGCCACTCCCGGCCAGGGTGAAGTTCTCGCGGTTAGTGACCAGCCCGCAGTCGGCCCGGGGCGTCTCCACGCGTCTCGCGCACGGGACGTGTCGGTACAAGGCTCTGAACCCGCGACCAGAATACTGGCTGTCCGAGACGAACACGAGGTCAAGATACGGGATCACCGCCATGTCCAGGACAGCTAAAACACGAACCACACGGTGAACATATTCACTCCTGGCGAAAGACACGCCCCGACCCGGGTGCGTACCAGGACCTCTCTAGTGTCGAAGAAAGACATGGATTAATTAATCCTATTTAACCCTAGCAACCAGACTTGAGAACGTGCTCTCGCGTCCAAAGAACGGAAATAAACTGTCACCCTCACGACTTACTGCCCGTGGATGACAACGACTCCCCACAGTAACGCCACTGGCCGCCGAAAAGCAGATAGTCCTTCACGCAGTTCTCGCTCGGCTCCAAGGAGAAGTCCGTCACGAAGAGGTGAACTTCGCAGAAGCCTGAGAGACGCAGGAACCTGGAACAAACCAGCTGACTAATGACCCAAGTTCCTGGACAGTCAGGCCCTCCTTCTGAAGTCAAGTCCACTGGAAACGTTTTTACGAAGTTGCAGCTGCCACTGACCGGAATTTCCTCTCGGAACCACGAATTTTCAACTCTCGGGTTACAAGCCGCGTCAGGTGGCCGAATAAACCGTATCTTCTGCCAAAATCTTCGAGAGCGATCTCTGCTGTCATCCTCAGGGCTGCTGTTTGACGAAACGTTGCCATTCAGCCACCTGACGAGACTCGTAACCCGAGAGTCTTTCATCACTTTATACAATTTCCAAGTGGTTTCCAGTACGATGTGCACGTGTCTCGAGGACAACTTACCTGTAACAGTGTCTCAGGTTACTGGGATAGGCCCGGGGGTAGCCGGGGGACTGAATCCAGCCCGTGGCTTGACCGAACACCTGGCAGCGAGGCGCGAGGCTTGGCAGCTCCGGATGGACGCTTGGCCACAGGTGCTGCTTGCCTTGCAACAGCCACAGAGCGAGCCCCCAGGCGCGGCAGGCGGTCTCTCTGATAGACCACAGCCCGTCAGAAACCGGATCTCGTCTCTCGCGGGGCGTGTCCCACCGAATGCAGTTGCCACCGTCCAGTCCGCAGTCACGCGACTCGCCCGAGTTACTACGTGAAAGGCTGAGGTCGTCCTGCTTGTTCGTGTTCTTGCTGAGGAGCCCCTCTGAGTCTGCTGATGGTGACAAAGGGGTTCCATCACCAACAGAACTGCCCGTGCGAACAAAATTAAGCTCATAGATTTGTTTATCAGAATTTTCCTGGAGACTGCTCCAGACTCGCTGTTTGTCCGCGCTCGTCTCATTCTCCACGGCGGATTTCTGTTGCATTTTACTGTCAGCGGATTTTAC